GTGCTCTGTGTGTGTGTGTGTGTGTGTGTGCAGGCGAGCAGTGCCCCTCTGAAGGATGTGGCGTGGGCACCCAACCTATGCAGGCCGTATGATCTGCTGGCCACCTGTGGGGACGAGCCCCTGGTGCACATATGGCAGTGGAAGCAGCAGCCACAACAAGACACATCGGCCAACGCACCGGTCAGTAATAGGGCGGGCACACAGCCAGGCAGACATACGCCCATCGACAGACGGGCATCTCATGCTCGCCCCCTTGCTCAGGCGGAGGCCATCTTGCCACCATCGGCTGGTATGCACGGAAGCAACAAGCTTGTGTGTGTGTGTACGCGACAGGCAGGCATCTCTCGCTGAGTGTCTGTGTCTGTGCAGAGTCGGGTGTGGCCGGCGCGTCCGACAAGTGGCTGCTCCAGATCCTGCAGAAGATCGAAGTATCGCCGGGACCGGTGAACCCGCCTAAGATCGCACCCATTGCGTTGATTCAGTGCATACTTCGTGACGACTGTGTGTTATATGTGTGCAGATATGGCGTGTGTGCTTCAACGTCACCGGCACCGTCCTCACCGCAGCGGCAGATGACGGAACAGTAAGGGGGGGAGGAGGACGGAAAGGAAACCCCATTGGTGGATACTGCATGATGCATTCTTCTCTGCAGGTGATATCATGGCGGTGTGGCGACCAGGAGCCGCCCGAGTGGGTGCCCATCACCACACTCATACCAGGAGACGACGAGAAGGAACCGAGGCCGTCATGTCAGCCAGAGGGAGGGGGCACGACACACGCACGCACGATTCATGTGTCCCTCTTCTCTCTGTGTGTGTGTGCAGTCATGTCTGATCGTCTGTTGAATGGCACTGCTGGTGGTGGTGCTGCAGCAGCAGCTGCTGTGAGTGGGGGAGGGGCTCATGGGGCCGATGCGATGGTCGACCACTAGCCAGCTGACTGACAGGCGGACCTCGTTTGATGGACATACTTGGTGCTGGTGACTCACAACGTGATCCAATCGACTTAATGTGTAGTGAATGTGTCCCATTGATTGCGTCTCATCCCTCCATCCATGCATCCCGTCATCATTCGCTATCCACAGGGCGTGCTTCATGCAAATATACTTACAAACAAGGCACATACAGCCCACTTGGCCAAACGACCCACCACACACATACACGCGTATGAAGGTGAGTGACAACAGACAAATGAAAACTACATACATACAGCCAGCCAGCCAGCCAGACAGGAGACAAACAGACAGGAGACAGACAGACACACCTGTGGGTATGTGGAGGACCCACAACTGACCAACTATACAACAGGAAACACAGAGGGCGCACTACGCGTAGGCTCACCAGACCGAACGAGAATCATGCAATCCACGAAGCCCCAGCCTCGTGCATCATCAAGATGACAGCCAGTCGAGCCCATTCCCCTTGTATCTGTCTTACCGTACTCTACTGGCACAGCTATCTACACCTGCCTACCTGTCGACACACGGACACACACATGGAGGGCAACGGGAATGCGTAGTGTGCAAATTCATGTAATCACGCAATTCACGAAGCCCAGCCCCGTGCACCACACACACATACGCTACGATGGGACAAGACAGACAGCGAAAAGGACAACGGTGACGTCAACAGGCATATAAACCATGTATAAACCATGTTACATCTATCCTATCAGCTGATCTGCCTGGTGTACACCTACTTGTATATCCATGTAATCATACAATTCACGAAGCCCCGGCCTCGTGTCATCATGATAGCATCCAGTCAGCCGACCACATTGCCCATTGCATCTGTCTACCTGCTTACCTATCTACACATACACGCACATACATGAATGGGGTGTACACATACACGGAAATGGGAAAGACAGACAGAGCATTCATGGGCAGCCACAATCATGAACCCCCGTAGTCTAGGTCCTCATCTCCTATGAGCCGAAACCGCGTGCTCACCCCTCCCTCCCCATGCAAGCATCTACCATTCATCTACCAGTCTAGTACCCGAAGGAGCCGCCAAGCCGGTCCCGAATCCAGTCTCCAGCCTGTTGGGCGATCTTGGGCGGGCTGATCTTGGGCGGGGTGATCTTGGGCCCGCTGATCTTGGGCGGGGTGATCTTGGGCACGCTGGGCCACAGGGCGCGATGCTGGGGTGGCTCCTCCTCATGCTGCTCCTCAGCGTGCTTGTCCTCGAGGCCGGACACAAGGTCATCCGTGGCTTCCTGCACTCACATCACATACAACTACTACGGTAAGCACAGTCACACCAACCGCATTCATTCAAACGTTCACTCGTTCATTCATTCCTTGATGCGATGCGCGCATGGCTGACTGAATGATTGATCTCCCTCCGTCGCTCATGTCGTGTAGGTGACCGGCTGGCGGTGTGTTCGTCATCTCAGAAGGTCATTGTGTTTGATTACGACCAGAGAAGCGGCGAGTGGAATGAGTCAGCCAACATCGAGAGCGTACGACGGGTGGTCTCGAGGCACGGCACGCACGGGTTAGATCGTCTGTGTGTGGTCAGGCTCACGATGCTCCCATCTGGCGGGTCGACTGGGCGCATCCCGAGTTCGGCCAGGTGAGTCGAGTCAAGAGAAGACACGCAAGTGTGGGCCCTACAGAGGTACTCGTTGGCGGATAGGTTCTTGCGACTTGCTCGGAGGACAGGACTGTCTGCATCTGGTCGGAGAGATACAGACCAAAGGGCCACGCTGAGAATGTCGGCGCGCCGGCAGATCTGACAAACATATGGAAGAGGAGAGCGAAACTCTCAGACGCACAGGTGAATCGATCCAACGCACACACGGTCATCGCCCTACGGTCACATTGTGGCCTGCATTGCATTGATATATCCGTGTCAGATGCCCGTACGCGACATCCAGTTCTCGCCCAAGAAGCATGGACTCAGACTGGTCAGCCAACAGACAGAGAGCCGAGGCGCGCACGTGTGTGTGTGAAGGATGAATGCTCAACCACCCACGCGACGCATCAGGCCACGTGCAGTGCCGACGGCAGCGTCCGCATCTACGAGGCGCAAGACCTCCTCTCGCTCGGGGCGTGGCCGATGGTACGCACACAATGGCGGCCATCACCACACACACATTGCAGCTGTTCAATCAATCGGTCAGGAGGATTGTTTCACCAGTCACAAGCGAAGCAACTGCCCCCGAGGCTGCACGGCGCTGGCGTGGAACTTCGACAGTGAGGACCAGATACTGGCCGTGGTGGGCAACGACGGCATACTCGACGTCTGGGGCAAGTGAGTGAGTGAGGGATCTATGGCGTGGCGGGCGGCACACACAGCGATGGATTGGATCACCGCATGGCTGGCTGCTGTGGTCCATTTCAGGAGTGGGCGGGGCTGGTCGAGGCTTGCAGAGCAAAAGGTTGGCTGGCCGGTCGATGGCTGGGCTGATGGGATGTGCGTGTGCGTTACATTGTGTTGTGCTCTGTGTGTGTGTGTGTGTGTGTGTGCAGGCGAGCAGTGCCCCTCTGAAGGATGTGGCGTGGGCACCCAACCTATGCAGGCCG